AAGCCTGCTTCTCCCTCTCCCACTCCCCCTGCTTGTGTTCCCTCTCTCGCTGTGTCTCTCTCTGTCAGATAAATAAATAAAATTATTAAAAAAGAAAAGCCCATGTCCAGATGGTATCACTGGTGAATTCTACCAAACATTAAAAGAAGAAGTAATACCAACTCTTCATAAACTTTTCTAAAAAACAGAAGATGAGAAAACACTTCCCAACTCATTCTATAATGTATTACCTTGATACCAAAATCAGACAAAGATATTACAAGGAAAAGAATATTAACGTGGACTAATAAGTACTAAGCCTAATACTGATTCTAAGAATATTCAACTTCTAATCTAGATCTAGCTAGGTAACTACTTTTCCAGATTAAAAATGTAGGGCTTAGAATATAAATCTAGTAATAATTTACTCATTTGTTTTATTGATTCAGATATACAGGTCATTCTTAAAAGATTTCACTTAAAAGATTCTGGTTTTAAGGGGTGCCTGAGTGGCTCAAGTCTGTTAAGTGTCTAACTCTTGATTTTGGCTCAAGTCATGATCTCAGGGTTGTGGGATCAAGCCCCGTGTTGGGCTCTACGCTCAGCGGGGAGTCTGCTTGAGATTCTTTCCCTCTGCCCCTCCCCAGTTTGTGTTTTCTCTCTCAAATAAATAATCTTAAAAAGATCTGGTTATAACACAGAAGAAAAATATATTCATTTAAAGTTTAACATATATATGTAGCTAGTAGAAAACTGGGATTTTAAAGGTTTATTCCTTCCATATCACTCTGAAACTTGAATTTCACTAAAAAGTACTAATTAGAATGCTGTATCTCTTCTGATTATCTCCTAAGTCTTCAGTTCATTTTTTTTTTTTTTTTTTAAAGTAAACTCTACCCCCAGCGTGGGGCTTGAACTCACAACTCCGAGATCAAGAGTTGCATGCTCTACTGACTGAGCCAGCCAGGTGCCCCTTCAGTTCTTCATTTTTATATCATTTAAAAGATAAAGATTATAAGGAAAAACTTTTAAAATGAACTAAAACAAGAAGTCTATTTTCAAAAGGAGTATAAATTATATTTAATTTGGTAATCACTTCCCCATTGAATAAAAATGTTCTTAAATTTAATATAGCAATTTGTAATTATAATACAAATATAAGGCAAAAATAAATATGAAGGTTCCACAGAAGTGGTTCTACATTATGGAGATAACCACTTGCAAACTTCTGTTCCCATTACGTCGTCTAAGTGTTCCTTATTCTAAAAATTAAAGATATACAGAATTTAAAAGAAAACAGGGAGTTTCCTAAATGCTTTCACTTGTTTTCTTATAAGGTTGCAAGTCTGAAAAGTCCATAGATTAAAAGGCTAAAGGCTAGGGAACCACAAACTCTTCTGGAAGTATTTACAAACCAAGCATTTCTATTTCTTAATATGTTTTTATAAACCTTAGCAGCATCACTGGAATAAGCTGACCTTACTGATGGGTCGTTCTCCAGGAGTTCAGTAAGCCGTTGTACTTGCTCTGGCTGGATGGATCGCCCTAAGAGTGCTTCCGTGTTAGTGTAGATGAGAAATGCTGAGACAATGCCTAATAACGTGCCCACACCCAAAGAACCTAGGCTGTCATACAGTGGATTACCTAAATAAAGCACAGAAGAAGTCAGTAAATTAACATTTTCTATTATTTCATCAATCAGCTTTAGTGAGTAAAGAACCAGAATTAGTAAAACAAAGGACCTGAAATTCATTCCTAATTCCTTTAATGACTTTCTCCTAATAAGTTTACTATACTACAAAATGGCGATGCTACATGCTACAATATGCTTCACATTACATAGGAGTATTATGTGGTTTAATTATTTAAGATCTATTTCTTGCATATGGTCATTACATAGGGTTCAGAGCATTTTAGAAACATCATATACATACTACTAATATAATAAAATCCATTTCTTTTTGATATATCAGTAGCACTTTTCCTGTCTCACGCTGACAACACTGTGAGATCAACAGCTGAAAAAAATAACCACCTTTTGTTTCTTATTCTTATCAAGGTTCTGTGAGAGAATTAAGCCATACAAAAAATGATACGGATCACTCTTTTCATTCAACCAAGGATGATGCATAGCTAGTACCATTCTAGATACAAAGGGGAGAAGTTAATTCATTGCATGCTACAGGTACCTTAGAGCAGTGGTTCTCAAAGTACAGTTCTTTCACCAGCAGCATCAGCATCACTTGAGAACTTGGTAAAAATGCAAGTTCTTCGGCCTTACCTAAGACTTTCTGAATCAGAGCTACAATATATATTTATTTACAGTATTAGAGTTAATTAAAGTTCTCTCCCATATATTACCTTAATAAACCTTTGAGGTCACTAGGCCAAATATTATCAATACTAAGCTCAGAGTAGTTGCATAATTTATTAAGGCACAGCTAGAAAGGTTTAGCACATTACAGAAATGCTCTAACAACAGCCGTCTTTATTTCAAACTAAGAAAATTTCTGAGAGAGAACTCTGAAGACTTTTACTGTCTTATCTGTCTTATACAAATAAATGGTTAGTATGCAATTAGCATTTAACAATCTATTGGTTTAAAACTATTCAGTGATATAAAAGAAAATACCCACATATTAGAGAATTATTTAAGTAGTACAAATAAATCACCTGTAACTTAAGAAATATTTACCTGTTAGAGAAGTAAGGCCCATACACGTAGCTGCTATTGTCACTCCCAAGACCGCTGCGGTATCCTCCAGTAATATCACATTTGTACTAGGATCACGACTTTCCATTACTTAATCATTGGGGTAGAGACAAGAAAAGAAACTTTCTGAAATCCTAATTTGATACTATCATGCAACATTTTAGTAAGTATCCATTTAAAATTAAGATATAAATTAAGATAAAAAAATGTATGAGATCCTGATTTTAAAAGCCCTGTTCCATGTAAACATAATTTATTAGTTTGAATGTTGACAGTAACTGAAATTTAAAGTCAAATTACTTTCTCTAGTTATAAAAACATATGTAGAAAAACGGTAGTCACTTAAGTTAAAATCCAAATATAAAGTATTCATGTTCATATCACACTATGTTTCTCTTCTTAAAAGAGATGATATATAATATAAGAGCCATACAGAGAAGACATCGAGATATATTTTGTACACACCTGTAAGGAAAAAGCAATAGTACTGGGCAATTTTAGAAAATAAAGGAGATGAAGTAAGACAACCGGTTTCTAACATACATACCATATTTATAAAATGACATTCCTTTGGCCCGAGCACTCCTACGAAGTTCATTTACAGCAACAAGAAGTGTTGCTGAAAGAAAAGCATTCATATCAGCAAGGAAAAAACCTCATGCCTCCAAGTTTTAAAGACGACTTCTCAAAATAAATAGGTACAACGCTTTTAATGCCAGGGTTGTCAATAAAGAAAAGTTCTATATTAACTAGTCATTATCTAGACTCCAATTATCATCATAATACAAGGAATCCCATATTTCTAAACCATAATAATTTAAATATCGTTACCACCACCTTAATGACCTTAATTTATTGGACAGCAACTAGTTGGCAGGCACCACACTAAGGACAACACTTTTGATCCTCCCAACCTTTTGAAGCAGGTGGTGTTATCACCATTTTACAGACTGTCAAAGATTAAGGGAACACTATGCATAGCAAATGACAATGTATCGGAAGTAAGCATACTATGAATACAACCAGTTAGGCAGTTTCCTACATGATGTAGCGCTTTTCTGTCATAAAACTTGCTACAGCTGAACCTCGCAGAAACCTGGAAATGTTTTATTGCAAAGAGTCAGCCTTCCATGATTAACACGACTAAAACCTGATTTTCATTTATTTTTTTTAAAGATTTTATTTATTTGACAGAGAATGGGAGTGATCGAGAGAGAGAATAGAAGGAGCGATCGAGAGAGACAGAGAGAGAATACAAGCCGGGGGACAAGCAGAGGGAGAGGGAGAAGCAGACTCCCTGTGGAGCAGGGAGCCCAAAGCGGGGCTCAATCCCAGGACCCTGAGATCATGACGTGAGCCAAAGGCAGCTGCTTAACTCACTGAGCCACCCAGGTGCCCCACTAAAACATGATTTTTAAAAATTCAATATATAGGGGCGCCTGGGTGGCTCAGATGGTTAAGCGTCTGCCTTCGGCTCAGGTCATGATCCCAGGGTCCTGGGATCGAGTCCCGCATCGGGCTCCCTGCTCCTTGGGAGCCTGCTTCTCTCTCGCTCTCTCTGTCTCTCTCTCTGGCTCTCATGAATAAATAAGTAAAATCTTAAAAAAAAAATAAAAAAAAATAAAAATTCAATATATAGTTATGTTTTCAGACTCCATTCCAAACGTTCTGAGTGTTATGATTAAGATACTCAAGAACAAAAAAACCCAGCTTTTCCCCTGCCCACATCCATTACAGGAATAACCATAGTACATTATACAAAGAATTTACTCCCTCAAAGTAGATTCCTATTTCAATAGTTTTTCTTTAATCAGTGGAATTTAGCAATTTATAAAAATGAACTGCTGAATATATATTACTAAATTAAGAATAAAGAGATACTGTAACAGTACATACCTCCTTCAGATGCTAATGATCCTGCTAAAATACAATATGCCTAGAAAAGAAGTATTAAAATAAAGTGTTAGTATTTCATTAGAGAATCACAACGATTCATGCATAAAGTTTATAATGTTTAAAATGGAAACATAAATTCAAATCCTAGCCAGATAAGAATCTTGATGGGAGATAGCTCAAATGAGGGCAATGAGATAGATGGTATATCTTCATAAAAGGAAAAAAATAAAAAAAGACTTGATGGTCATTTCATTTTTTAATACTTAGAAGAGTAATCTGTCTACTCTATAGAATGTTATACCATGCCTAAGTTAAATTCATGATATAAGAGATGAAAAAATTAGTATAAAACATTTTCTGAAGTTCAAAATGAACACAAACATTTGAAATCTGGGGTGTGGATACCAGGATACAGTAAGATCCATACCCATACCCGTGTAACTTCTGGCTTTTGTTTGGATGCCCAGTACCAATCCTGATTCAGAAAGATAAGCAGTTATAAATAGTGATCAATTTGGGAGAGGGGGATTACACCACCCTCCTCACAGTACCAGGACACACTTGAATTAAAGATTTGCAAAAAACTTTCATCCAAGAGATAACCTAGCAACATAAATTTTTAACAATTGCAATAAAATTCAAACGAAAACATATGGAGAATTTTCAGCATCATCTTTTTGGAACCCTGGGCTTCCCTAAAATAGAAGTTTGGAAAATTCTGAACCTAGTCTAATACTCTTATACTTCTGTTAAGGAAACTGAGGAAGGCTATGTGATTTGCTTGAGTACACAGAAATGATACCAGGGTAAGATCTAGAATATGGGTTTTCCAGTCTCAACTCTAGGCTATCTCCACTGAATCTTACTGCCAACCTACAACATAATTAAAACAGTAGCTAAACTGCCCAATATTTTTTTTAATCCTTCTATCTCCTTCCTGAAAGGATTTAAGACACACATCACCTAATAAAGGGAAACAGCATATATCAGCAAAAGATTCCAATACCTAATAAACATAAATTGGTCTATGGTACATTGAATCTATATTTATTAACTAAGAGTCATAGTCTGATGTAACCTCATTTAGTTGCAAAAAAGACAGAAGAGCTTCTAGGAGCTTTTTTTTTTTTTTTTTTAAAATAAGTTCCACACCCAGCATGGGGCCCAATGTGGAGCTTGACCTCAGGACCCTGAGATCAAGACCCGAGCTGAGATCGAGAATCAGATGCATAACCAACTGAGCCACCCAGGTACCCTTGAGCTCCCAGTACAATTGAAAATTTAACTAATTTTCATTAACCACTTAGTCTCTCTAAAATAATACTATACAATTCAGATGAATGCTAGAAGAATGAGGTATCTATAAAGTGGCCGAACCTTTTCAGAATGGAGGAAAAGATGTTAAATGAGATTCACTCCAACTGAGAACAAATTAGGTTATAAGTACTCCCGCATTCCAAAATGAGGTGCTGTACCATCCCTTCAGGCTTTGCATAGAGAATGCCCAAGCCCTGTTTTACAACTCCTAGCCCCACACCCACTAGCCCATGAGGAAGAGCTAAGGTTAAGGCCAAAAGTGAAGATTTCCTTGGAGAAAGCTATTAAACTGTTAAGATTGTTCAGAAAGCTGGATGTGCATCCCTGGTGTTTAGAGATTATAGTGAACTACGTCTAATTCACATATAAAAATAAATTTATCGGCAAGTCTACTGATACTGATTGTGTCAAAAGAGTAGATGATTATGTTTGGGGGAATAAAAAAAAACTGCACCCTCACTGGGAGGGCATTAAAGATGTCTGTTTTAACACACAGAGCCCAAACAGGATTCTGAGTAAGAGTCTTTAGAAAAGAGATCAACTGCCCAAAGAGCCTTCTCGAAAATGCAAGACAACCTCAGCAGAGAGAGTCTGGAACTACATCCTAAGAAGCAGAAGCTAAAAGGGGGTGCCAAATGACCAATCCAAGGGAGCTAGAGTCGGAGTGGACATGCAGGGTAATCTCCAAGAAGTTTCCATGAGAGAAAAAGGCAGCTTTTAGTGTCTATGAGGGCCAGAGGAATCCAATGTAAAACGATGCTGGTGCCAGTAAAGTACAATAAAGTAGTACTTTTCTGTCCTCTCTCCCTACCTTTGATGCTGCCAGAGGCAAGCTCAGGAGTAGGAGAGAAGGGCAGAAGCCCTAGCGAGGAAAATACAGAAGGTGACCATGCTCCCATCCTCCCATTCCCCTGGTACAGGCTTCCTACCTATATGAGTGAAAAAAAAAAATCTTTAAACACAACAATTCCAACTTATGACTGTCTTGTGGCACTGGATATTTTAATTACTGACAGATTATTCTTGGGACGAAAAATGAACAGAGATCTTGTTTTTCAATGTAAGTGAAGAAATTAATGGAACTGCCCAAGATTTTAACCCAGGAGTCAGTACTTAACGATTGTACCTACAGAGATACTCTTTTCTTTCTTCTTTTTTTTTAAGATTTTATTTTTAAGTAATCTCTACACCCAATGTGGGGCTCGAACTCACAACCCTGAGATCAAGAGTTGCACAATCCACCAAGTCGCCAGGTGCCCCTGTACCTACAGAGATACTCTTGTTCAACATCATTGAACCATATGAATTTAGAGGTCATGTGTAGTCATGTCCTAAAAAACACCACTACAGACACATAACCCCGTATTACAGTCAAAAAGGTGTGTGTTAGTCCCTTTAACATCAATATGACAAAGGCATTCTATTGTACTTAATCACTCTTATATTACTTGAAAACTGAAGGGAAAAAAAGATTACCCATAGAAGAGATTCTATTGGTTGAGGATTAAGCAATCCCATGATTCCGTGGTACCAAGATAATCCTGCACCCATCATGAAAATACCAACACCACTAATTAGTGAAGCAATATAGCGCATATTTGAAAATCCATACCTGAAAAATAAAAAAAAGGAGTTTACAAAAAATACAAATAGTTTTATAAAATATGTTGAATAAGTCAATGAAAAAGAAAACCAAAAACTTCTTACAATATAAAGATGTTTACGGTTTTATATTTAAGTAAAATGTAAATACCAAACTTAAATCTAATCGGAAAATAACATATAAGGGGAAAAAACTGCAAGATCTTTGAAAATATAGAAAAACAGTGAATATGACTGAATTCAGGTATTTTCTAATCTCTCTTCCATATAGTCTGTTCTGATTACATAGAATCAATTTACTATTATGTACCACAAATACTGATAAAATTCATCTTTTTAAAAAAATGCATTCAGGTGTTTAATGGAGAGGATGACATTGAAATTCCCTGTAATACAGCTTCTAAGTGAACATTTGGTCTTCTTGCCTATAATTTGATGTTGGATACTTGGGGCTGGTTCTGATTGTTTAGCACACAGCAACTAACTACTATTATTAGGACTATAAGTTTCAGTTTTTCGGGTGTTTTTATGGCAAGTTTTTTCAAAAAAAATCTCATTTTTAAAGAATCTTTGGTCAATATGTGTATTATTTTGTATTATTGTATGTATCAATAAAATACTGAGTTTTAAGAAACTCAAAAACCTATATACTATACGAGGAAAGGAATCACTCATTAATAAAAATATTTCCTGGGAAATTCACTCCCAAAGCCAAACTCTATGGCACCCTTCTGGAAGATGCAAATTTAAACAATAGGTCTTAATTAAAACTGCTTTTTAATTATTTCTGCAAATATGTATTAATCTTGCCATAGAGAATTCTCAGTTTATAGATGTGACAATGTTCTACCTGTTTGATTTAGAAAAACTTACTTTTTCTTAAATGTACCCCCCAAAGAAATACAGGATATATATATATTTATTTCAGTTAAAGTAAATTAAGATCTGAATTAAGTGCTAATACTTTCCTTCTATGTGTTTTCAAAAAATTGTAGGTTCTGACTGAAAATTTTAACTATGTAGATCTTCACTGTCCCATATTAGTCATCAGCCACATAACACTATTTAAATTTAAATTAATTAAAACAATAAAAATTTAAATGTAGATCTTTACAGTAGGCACATTTCAAATCCTCAACAGTCACGGGTACGTAGCTACTGACTATCATACTGGACAGATATAAAATATTTCTATCACTGTAGAAAATTCTATTGAGCAGCACTGAAGTAGACTGTTGAAAATACCTTAAAAAGAAATCCTCACAACCTAAAATTATAAAATTTTATCCTGTTTTTAAAATTTTGGTGTATAAAACTAATCAGGAAAAAAATTCTTTTCTTGACACAGTAAAATAGTGTAATGATGTGTAATTAGTAGATTAGAAAGCTACTTGCTCTCTATAATTGCTTATTGATAGTTCTAGGATATTCAAAATATACTATCATTTATGAGAAAACAGTAGTGTCTTGCTTTAAGCAAAAAAAAAAGGCCTTTATATAAAGCACAGAGGCAGACTCCTTTACAGAAATAAAAGTATATTTTTTCTGCCTTAAGACTGATCAAATTTTATTATTGAAACTTGTTAAATAAATGATACATGTGGAATTCAAAAGTATTAGCTGGGTATGTTAGTAAAAGGAAAAAAATCTCTATAAAATAACTGATGTGACTCAAAATAATATAAAAGAATACTCATTTTACAAATAAATAATTTTAAAATGTTAGCAGAATACTATTTCCAAGTCACAACAGGATTAAAATACAATAAATATGGATTTAATAAAAGTTATCACTAAAATTTTAGATTCAGTACCTATTAGTTTAGATGTAGAATGTTTCCTTTAACCAAATAAAATAGAACTCTAAGATCAAAATATGTGCTTTGTTATTAATTATCAAATATGAAGAGGACAAGATCTCTATGCTGTTACAAAGCATAAAAATAATTTAAACACAAATTTCAAATTATATCTTGAATTTATTTTGACACTGTGTTTGAGTCCTACATTTTAGATCCTCTAGTGAAAGAACTGACCAAATCTTTAACACAAAAATGCAGGTATATAAACTGCAGGAGACTTCTAAAATTCAACTGCTTTTATTTCAATGACTTGCTGCCAAAAAATAAAATAAAATAAAGGCAATGTCCTTACGGATGAGTAGGATCTGGTGTCTGAACAGACTTACTGATGCCCACTGCCAGTAAACCCTATGGAGAAGAAGAAAAAAGGGTAAATAATTATTAGCAAGATGGAGAGTATAGTGTGGTAGAACCAATCTGGAGTATGCAATCTGACAATGGCAAAGAACCACTTCACATGCACATACACAACAGCCCAGCAATTCTGGTTTACAGTCCTTACCTTAGAGAAATAAAGATGAACCCAAAGGGGTTCAAAACACCATTGCTTATAAAGACAAAAAATGTGAAAGCCAACCTAAAAATCCCTCAATAAGGAATGGTAAAATAAATGCTGGTATTGCCAAACCATAGTTACATCTACAACGGTTTAAAAGAATGGAGTTGAGACAGAGCTTTCTGTACTGACATGGTAAAAGCTCCTACACATACCATTAAAGTGGAAGGAAAAAAAATCAAATTAGGAACAGTGCGTAAAGTACAAAAAAACTAACGTCATTTTGTAGACAACATATAACGTAAAGCACAGGAAAAGGTCTAAAAGAATATACATTCAACTGTTTATACCTCTGAGGAGAGAAGTAGGATTAGGATAGTCTGTAATATCTGATATTTTTATAGGAAAAGTAACATATTGCTATACAAATAAGACAGTAAAAATTTCAAATAGTATACATTGTATACAGACACATACATTTCTACCAGATCTTCCAAAGCCATGCACAGGGAGTATACATATCAATATGTACATTATCTGGGGTATGGAAGGAGGGATTAAAGATGTAGGGCTAATTACAACTAAGACTTTATTTCTTTAAAAAACCAAAAACATAAAATATGGCAAAAATATGAACATGTCTTTAATCCTAGTTACCACCTTTCTCTCCTTCCTTCCTTCCTCCCCAGACTTGATCTTTTCTTCCTTTCTTTCATTTATTTGGTTTTTCAGTTGCATCTTTTGTTAAAAAGAGTTATCCACTGGAAACTCCCAATATTAGTATGCTTGTCCCTAGTAAGTCCCTTCTATTCTAATTTGATGTGAGTTTAGATATCCAAAAAAGATTACCTTATTAGAATTATTTAATAAAAATACAAGGCCTCCGAGTGAACACCCTACGTGGTATTATTTGCCTAATCTGGGGCTTTTCCATTTTTTCAGCATGGTATCAAATAATCAGATAGGTAAAGCTTCAAGACAACCAAATTCTTCATAGATGAGGTTTCCCTGTAGGTTACAAAAAACTTGATAGAAACATTCTCTCTGGTAAAATAGAGATTACACCACCTTGAAAATGGCTAAAACAAATATATGACTGGACTTTTAAGTTTTGATATTGGAAATCCTACCCTAAATACACAGAATATTACAAGTTTTTTTTCTACTGGATTCCAAAGAAAAAGAGGGTTAAAACTACCTAAAACATAGATGATGGCTTTTCAGGAAATCAAACCAAGAAAATGAGAGTAAATTAAGATAGAACACAGAATCCTTTTAAACTTGCAAATTAAATTGAAAATTTCATTAATTCACACTATGTATGTGTGTGTGTATATATACATATATATGTGTGTGTGTGTTTATAATGTTTACAAAATAGCCAATGGGTATTCAATTATTTTTAAAATCCTTAATATTCAGGTTGGCCACACAATGAAGTGTAGGATATCAAGTTTTTCATAAACTGAATGTGGACCAAATTTATTAGTTTTTCCTATAAAAATAAGATATCACAGACCATCCCTAATCCTGTCCCCCTCATTCCCCTCAGAGGTAAGGTAACATGAGATAGGTTTGGTATGTGTACTTTCACACCTTTTTCTGCATAATTACAATGTGTGTGTGTATATACATATATATATATATATATATATATGTGTCAATATAACCTACATCTCTTTGGTTTGCAACATAACGGATATTAATATCTACTGGCTAAGAAGCATTATATGGCTTCCCCTTCCATGATTTTCCTTCCCTTTTTTGATTTTTCCTTCAGTATCATACTATCATACAACTGCTTAAATATCTTCTTGGAATATCTTTCTAATTGTTCTGACCTCCTTACAGAAGAGCAAAGACTGATTTCTTCTAAACACTACACTATAAACTCAGGTGCTCGATAAACTCATATCAATTAATATTAATGATGTACTGTATATTATTTAGCAGAAAAGTTTTAAAAAATGAACTGTACAGAAATTGTAAACCTAAATATCACTACAGGCACAGGTCTAAATTTAAAACTTGAGGTATTTTAGTCTCTCAAGAGGTAAAGAAAAAATACTATAGTTATAAAAATATTACAACAAATTAATGTTTTAATAACTGGAAGTTTGTACCTTTTGACCACCTTCACCCATTTCACCCACCTCCACTAACTCCCTGTCTCTGGCAACCACCAATCTGTTTTCTATATCCGTAAGTTTGGGGTGTTTTTATTTTATTCCACATATAAGTGAGATAATGCAGTATCTATGTCTGACTTTATTTCCCTTAAGCTTAATGCCCTCAAAGTCCATCCATGTTGTCACAAATGGCAGGATTTCTTTCTTTTTTTTCTAATGGCTGAATAATATTCCTGTGTGTGTGTGTGTGTGTGTGTGTACACATACATACTATATTTTTTTATCCATTCATCTATCGAAATGGACGTTAACGTTGTTTCCAAGTCTTGGCTATTATAAATAATGCTGCACTGAACATGAGGGTGCAGATGTATTTTCATAGGATTTTGTTTCCTTTAGATAAGAATTCCAGAAGTAGAATTGCTGGATCATATGGTAGTTCTTTTTTTTTTTTTTATGACCCTCCATACTATTTTTCATAGCACCTGTACCAATTTACATTCCCATCAACAGCGCACAAGGGTTTCCTTCTCTCTACACGCTCGCCAACACTTATTTCTTGTCTTTTTGATAACAGCCCTTCTAACCGGTGTGAGGTGATAGCTCATTGTGGTTCTGATTTGCATTTCCTTGATGATTAGTGATGCTGAGCACCTTTTCGTGTACTTTTTGGCCATTTGTATGTCTTAGTTGGAAAAATATCAATTCGGATCCTCTGCCCATTTTTTAATCAGAAAGGTTTTTTGCTATTGAGTTGCAGGAGTCCTTTAGAATTTTTAAAAATATTATAATACTTCTAAAACAGTTTTGTTTTGGTTTTTTTTTTAGAAGAGAGAGAGAGGACACACAAGCAGGGAAGGGGAGGGGCAGCCAGAGAGGGAGAAAGAGCACCTCAAGCAGGCTCCACACCCAGTGCAGAACCCAACATGGGGCTTGATCTCACAACCCTGAGATCATGACCTGAACCAAAATTAAGAGTCATACGCTTAACCAACTGATCCACCCAAGGGCCCCTAAAATAGTTTTCAAAAGAACATAAGAAATACAATTTCCATCTACTCAGTAAGGCCCAGTTGAAATCGTTTTCATCAAAGCCTTTCTGACCACACTAATCAAGACAAACTCTTCACCAAGGATTCTCAAAGCACTAATACCAAATGATTTCAGCTTTTATTTACCTCTGTTGCCACTCAATCTATTACAGAAATTAGTTTTTCTAGTTAGAACACTAACACATTCTCATTGTAAAGAAAACAAATAGGACAGGAGAGGGAATCATTTAAGAGTCTGATGGATATTTCAGACTATCTTTATATACACTTGTATATTAGTTGTTAATGTTGTTTTTGTGAACATATTTGTGAGAGATTTCAGGGAGGGGTGTGTGTGTGCTTGAAAAGATGATCACAATTGAGATCATGTCTTTTTGTACTTTATATTATGGAAATTTTCGACATACAGAGAGATGGATAAAACATTTTTTAAAAAACCCAATTGAGGGGCGCCTGGGTGGCTCAGTTGTTAAGCGTGTATCCCTTTGAATTAGTGTTCTTGTATTTTTTTTTTAAGATTTTATTTACTTATTTGACAGAGAGAGAGCACAAGCAGGGGGAGCAGGAGAGGGAGAAGAAGGCTCCCCGCCGAGCAGGCAGCCTGATAGAGGGCTTGATTCCAGGGTCCTGGGATCATGCCCTGAGCCGAAAGCAGATGCCTAACCAACAGAGCCACCCAGGTGCCCGTGTTCTTGCATTTTTTGGATCATACCCAGTAGTGCACCTACTGTATTATAGTTCCATTTTTAACTTTTTGAGGAACCTCCATACTGTTTTCCACAGTGACTGTACCAGTTTGCATTCCTACCAACAGTGCACGAGCATTCCTTTTTCTTCATCCTTGTCGACACTGGTGTTTGTGTTTTTGACTTTAACCATTCTGACAGGTGTGAGGTAATATCTCATTGTAGTTTTGATCTGCATTTCCCTGATAAGGAGTGATGGTGAGCATCCTTTCATGTGTCTTTTGGCCATCTGCATGTCTTCTTTGGAGAAATATCTATTTATGTCTTCTGCCCATTTTTTAATTGGATTGTTTTGGGGGGGTGTTGAGTTGTATCAGTTCTCTATATATTTTGGATACTAACCCTTTAACAAATATGCCATTTGCAAATATCTTCTCCCACTCAAAAGGTTGCCTTTTAGTCTTGTTGACTGTTTCCTTCACTGTGCAAAAGCTTTTTATTTTGATGTGGTCCCAATACTTTGTCAAAGAAATTACTGCCTCTGCTCTCTTCTGGATTTTTATGGTTTCAGGTCTCATGTTTAGGTCTTTAAGGCATTTTGTATTTATTTTTGGGTACAATGTAAGAAAGTTGTCTTCATTCTTTTGCATGTAGCTATCCAGTTTCCCCAACACCATTTATGGGAAATACTGTCTTTTTCCCACTAGATATTCTTTCCTGTTTTATTGAAGATTAATTGACTGTATAATTGTGGGTTTATTTCTGGGTTTTCTATTCTGTTCCATTGATCTATGTGTCTATTTTTGTACCAGTTCCATACTATTTTGATTAATATGGCTTTGTAATATAACTTGAAGCCTGGAATTGTGATACCACCAGCTTAGCTCTTCTTTTTCAGGATTCTTCTGGCTCTTCAGGGTCTTTTGTGGTTCTATAAAATTTTAGGTTTGTTCTAATTTGGTGAAAAATGTTGGTATTTTGATAGGGACTGCATTAAATCTGTAGATTGCTTTAGGTAATACGACATTTTAACTATATTCTTCTTCCAATCCATGAGCATGGAATGTCTTTCCATTTCTTTGTGTCTTCTTAAATTTCTTTCATTGGTGTTTTATAGTTTTTGAAGTATAGGTCTTTCACCTCTTTGGTTAAGTTTATTCCTACAGACTTTATTATTTTTGATACAATTGTAAATGTGCTTGTTTTCTTAATTTCTCTTTCTGCTGCTTCATTGTTAGCATATAGAAATGCAACAGATTTCTGTATGGTGATTCTGCATCCTAAGATTTTACTTAATTCACTTACCAGTTCTAGTAGTTTCTTAGGGGAGTCTTTAGGATTTTCTATATATACCATGTATGTCATCTGCAAATAGTGAAAGTTTTACTTCTTCCTTATCAATTTGGATGTCTTTTATTTCTTTCTGTTGTCTGGTTGCTGTAGCTAGAACTTCCAGTACTATGTTGAATAAAAGTGGTGAGAGTGGAAATCCTTGTCTTATTCCTGACCTTAGGGGAAAAGCTCTGTTTTTCCCCATTCACTAAGATGTTCCCTGTGAGTTTTTCATATAAGTTTTTTATTTGTTGATGTATGTTCCCTCTAAACCCACTTTGTTGAGGGTTTTTATTATTAATGGATGTTGTACTTTATCAAGTGCTTTTCCTCATCTATTGAAAAGATCATATGGTTCTTTTTTTTATTATTTTTTTGCAGCATTCCACGATTCATTGTTTACATATAACACCCAGTGTTCCATGCAGTATGTGCCCTCTTTAATACCCTCACCAGGCCAACCCATCCCCCCAAGGGATTAAATGGTTTTTATCCTTTCTCCTATTGATGTGATGTTATCACACTGATTGATTTGGGAATAGTGAACGACCCTAGCACCCCAGGAATAAATCCCACTTGATTGTGGTGAATGATTATTTTAATGTATTGTTGAATTTGGTTTGCTAGTATTTTGTTGAGGATTTTTGCATCTATGTTCATCAGAGGTTTGGCCTGTAATTCTCTTTTTTGGTGGTATCTTTACCTGGTTTTGGTATCAGGGTAATGCTGGCTTCATAGAATGGATTTGGAAGTTCTCCTTCTTCTTCTATTTTTCTGGGATAGTTTCAGAAGAATAGGTATTAACTCTTCTTTAAATGTTTGGCAGAAATTATCTGCGAAGCCGTCTGGTCCTATACTTTCATTTGTTGGGAGGCTTTTTTTTTTCTTTTAAAGATTTTATTTGTTCATGTGAGAGAGAGAGAGAGAGCATGAGCAGGGCGGAGAGACAGAGGGAGACTGCCCCCCTGAGCAGGGAGCCAGATGAGGGGCTCAATCCCAGGACCTGGAGATCATGATCTGAGAAAAAGGCAGATGCTTAACCATCTGAGCCACCTAGGCACCCCTGGAATTTTTGATTACTGATTCAATTTCCTTGCTAGTCATCAGTCTGTTCAAATTTTCTATTTCTTCCTGCTTTAGTTTTGGTAGTTTAATTTATCCATTTCTTCTAGGTTATCCAATTTGTTGGCACATAACTTCTCATAATATTCTCTTACAGTCTTCTGCATTTCTGTGGTTATGGTTATTTCTCTCTCATTTGCGATTTTTGAGTCCTTTTTTTTTCTTCTTGATCAATCTAGCTAGAGGCTTATCAATTTTGCTGATTTTTTTCAAAGAACCAGCTCCTAGGGGCGCCTGGGTGGCTCAGCTGGTAAGCATCTGACTCTTGACTTTGACTCAGGTCATGATCTCAGGATTGTGAGATCGAGTCCCATGTGGGGCTCCATGATAACGGTGGAGTCTGCTTAAAATTCTCTCTCCCTCTGCCACTCTCCCCCATCGCTTACACAGAACATGTGTGCTCTCATTAAAAAAAAAAAAAAAAGAGTCAGATCCTGGTTTCATTGATCTTTTGTTTTTCTAGTTTCTATACCATTTATTTCTTCTCTAATCTTTATTATTTCCTTCCTTCTGCTGGCTCTGGGTTTTGTTTTTTGCTCTTAATTTTATAAAAATCTTTCTTCATTTGTACATTCAAGCGAAGGAATTAAAAATCCCAGTTTAGGGGCACTTGGGTGGCTCAGTCAGTTAAGCATCCAACTCTGGATTTCAGCTCAGGTCATGACCTCAAGGGAGATCAAGCCCCACATCAGGCTCCATGCTCAGCAGAGAGTCTGTTTGAGATTCTCCCTCTCCTTCTCCCTCTGGCCTTCCCCCGGCTCATGCTCTCTCTAATAAATAAAATCTAAAGAAAAAAAAAACAGTCTAATGTGAAATCATTTTAATTCATTAATCACTTGTGATTATTTTATAGCTTTATTTTTTTAAGACTTTATTTCTTTATTTGAGCGAGTGAGAGAGTGTGTATGTGCGCACGGAGGAGGAGCAGAGGGCGAGGGACAAGCAGACTCCACAATGAGCATGGACCCCAGTGTGGGGCTCGATCCCATGACCCTGAGATCACAACCTGAGCCAAAATCAAGAGTCAGAAACTTAACCCACTGAGCCACCCAGGCGTCCTGATTATTTTATAGCTTTATTCAAAAAACTTATTGGCCCTTATAGTCATAAGAATTCATATTCAGAGACCAAATTTCTACCTAATGATAAGAATCTCTTATACAAAAGATTCTGCCCAACACTTACTACTGATAATGTTATACTTCATATTCCATTGTTGTTAAGTTCTTAAAGCATAACAACGTGCTTTAAATATGATCAGGGGTAGTGCTCATTTCGGCAGCACATATACTAAATATGATCAGGGGCACCTGGGTGGTTCAGTCAGTTAAGCCTCTGACTCTGGATTTCAGCTCAGGTCATGATCTCAGAGTTATGAGATCAAGCCCGGCACTGGGCTCCGTACTGGGTGTTGGAGCCTGCTTGAGTTTCTCGCTCTCCCTCTGTCCCCCTCCCTACCCACTCACCTCATTTTCTCTCTTTCAAAAACAAAAGTAATAAAGAAGATCCTTGATTTAAAAAATAATAAATAAAATACTAGGATCAAATTTCTATGTACTTCATCATCAAAAGTAAAAACAAACTTTCATTTTATTCCTCAAGCCAACTATAGGAATCATCTGTTTTTAAATAGGTCAACTTTTAGACTAAAGCCTTAAAAAACTTACTTTAAAATTAAAAAGAAAAAAACTTTTACACCTTACCTGATTACAAGTATCAGATAAAGAGTGTATAGCTTCAGAGAACATACTTGCTGAACCGGTATAAATCCAGGCAAGAAATTTAAAGAAGCAGTTTAATCCATTGCTAAGAGAGAAAGATAAAACAATTTAGCACAGGTTTTGATAAAAATTTCCACCAAAAGCTTATTTATTTGAGTATATAAACCTCCATACTAGATTCTGTTCAAAGTAAAATAAAAAGAATCTCTAGCCTTTAAGAATTTATTGTATTTTAGGTAATAAGAGAATAAATTTGAAAAATACAGATTATGATATCATTAAATATTCAAATGAAGAAACATGATATGTGTAAACAAATTACTTAAGTATATTTTGAGAACTTATGAGAAGAGTGTGTTTTATATTTGGATGAAGTAAAGTTAGAAAGGAAATTGTCTTAGGGTAGGTTAAAGAGGATCTACACTTGATATTGTCCAGCACACTAATGTCACAATCAAAGTCTATTTACTTAAGCAGGCCAGATGTGAAGGTGCCAGATGCCAGAGGTGAAGACAAATCTAGACCAAGCAGTCTCAGAGTCATACTAGAAGATAATAGATGCTAAAAATAAACATGGTTAGCTCTGAGGAAGCTAGCTGTTCAGATTCCAACAGTAATGACTGGTAACGGTTTATCTCGGGCACTACACTTAGTCACTTACCATGTTTTATTATAACACTATTATTTTATAAATATTAATATCCTCATTGTATAAATAAGGAAACTGTACATCCCCTTCCAGCTCTCTTTCCCTTCTTTTCCACTTCATTGAAAGAATTATAGCTCCTCTTGTTGTATCCATTTTCCACATTTTGCACTAAGTCTTCAGTCCATTTAACAATGGCTTATGCCTCAGATACCTCAGTAGATTATTCTTATCAATACCACAACTGTTTCTTGCTACTAAATTCCTGAAAACAGTTTAGTATTTTCCTTAATCTCACAGAAGCATATGCCACCTTTTTCTTAAAGGACTGTCTTCCTTGGCATCCATGATATCCCTGGTTTTCCTCCTAGTTCCTGATTTGCTTTCCTTTCCGTCTTGCTTTCTCTTCCTCAGTCTCCTCTGCAGGCTCTTTTCCTCTACCCATTTCACAGATGTTAGCATTCTTCAAGGTTTCCTCCTGAGGGATTTTTCTTCCTCACACTTCAAACACATTCTCCAGGTGATCTTAATTACTCCTATGGCTTGAGGTGCCTGGGTGGCTCAGTTGTTACGAGTCTGCCTTCGGCTCAGGTCATGGTCCCAGGGTCCTGGGAACGAGCCCTGCATCTGGCTCCCTGCTCAGCAGGAAAGCCCGCTTCTCCCTCTCCCACTCCCCTTGCCTGTGTTCCCTCTCTCGCTGTGTCTTTCTCTGTCAAATAAATAAATAAAATCTTAAAAAAAAAATTACTCCTACGGCTTTAATTATCATCTCTATATTAATAACTCTCAACTCTAAATCCCTAATCCAGCTTTCCTTTGTGAGCTTCAGACCCAACATATATTAATATTTATTAAGTACCTGTTATGTACTGGGTATTACACTAAGCAGTTTACATATATTACATACATTCTTCCAATGAAGAAAGTTTTAATTGCTAACCTCACTTTACCGAAGAGAAGAATTAATGCCATTGACCAACTCCACTTGGGTGCCCTACAGGCAGATCACTCAAACTCAAAAATACACTCATTTCCTTTGCTGCCACCCTGCCCCTCCTTCAAGTGCTCCTTCTCTCAATGATGATGCCATTATTTATCCAATTGTCCAAACCAGAAACCTGGGCCCATCCTTGACCATACCTCCTAAATACTTCTTGGACCTAAACATGTCTTTCCATCCCTACCTTCATTATCTCAGTTTAGTGCATCATCATCTCTTCTCTGCATTACTGTACATGACATCCTCCAGTCTAGTGCCCCTCCAATCCTTAAAGATGAGAATTATGAATTGTATCTTTGTATTTCAAGACCCTACCACAATTCCTGACATGTCATATGTATATATTTTAGAAATAAACAAACTAATGAATTATGGAATTAATACTTTTAAATATCCTAAAATAGATTAATCAGCAAAAGAGAAAAAAGATAATAAAACAATAGGAATCAAGAAGACAGAAGGAAAAAGAAGAGGCACAAATATCAATTACGTTCTTCCAAGTTAAATGGGGAAAAACAAGAATGTAAATATTCTTCAGTAGTTATGACCTAGGTTATTTAGTTACTCAAAAAATGATCTCAGCCAATTCACCTTTTTAAAAAAGACTTCTTTCAACTCCAATGAAAATAAAAGAATTTTCAGAGAGCAACTATTCTTAGATCCTAACCACTCCAAAAATAGACCCACCACAAGCATGGATATCTATGTGGACTCTTCCCTCATCACTTTACTGACAATATTAACAAAGGCTCATTCAACTTCCTTCTATAATAACATGAACTTATAACTCTTTACCTAAATACCAAGTAATAAATTTTTACATTCATAGATACACACATTAAAAATAATGTATTTCTTTTTTTTTTTTTTTTTTTTTTGACAGAGAGAGAGAGAGCGTACAAACAGGGGAAGCAGCAGGCAGAGGGAGAAGCAGGCTCCCCGCTCAGCAGGGAGCCTGATGTGGGGCTCGATCCCAGGACCCCGGGATCATGACCTGAGCCGAAGGCAGACGCTTAACCGTCTGAGCCACCCAGGTGTCCCAAAAATAATATATTTCTATTTTAAATGGTACTTACATGCAAATGGCAACCATCACCACTTTTCCTGGCCCTTTAAAAAAAACTGATGTCGTTCTGGACCGTGGCTATAAAAAAACAAACAAAAAAACACACGCAAAAAATCTTTAAAATTTCCCAGAGAAACAGTTTAATGCTTATAAGTGATCTGACACACCAGAAAATATGTCCTCTATTAAACCCTCTGAACAACTAGATTTAGTTATTTGCTTCTTTTTCTCCAGAATCTCCACTTTAAAAAGTGAGAAGATAGAAATTGAGAGTACATGTGAGTCCTTTTCCAAAACCTTAATTGTTTGTTTCCTTGTAAGTAATCTCCTGCCTATTGCCAGAAAAGATCTGAGTTGGTTACACAGAAACTAGGGAAAAAGTGATAAAAATGTACTGAACTAAAATTGATATATTCTAAAATTTTTCCATTTCCTGAGCAACTTAACTTTTAAACAAGGAATGGCCAAAGCCAAGTTTGCTTCTCTAATTTAACTCCTTACTGCTCTCTAAATACCAAAGACCTCAAGTGATAATATGTTTAATTCCAAAACAGACCAAAAGAAACAAACCAAGAAAACTATTTTTCTTGAGTTAAATGTAGTTTTGCTGTTCCTTCAATGTATACTTTCTATGTTTTTCCTCCTGCTCTTTCCTCTCCCTGGAATGCTACCATCATCTTCTACCACAATTTGTCCAGCTTTTACTTATCCTATTCCATGTTAGGCCAACTGGCATTTTTCTATGTAAAGCCTTCCTTGGTCGGTCAGAGAATACTCACTCTGCTGCACATTTATTATTGAACTTTACATTTCTATTAAAGTACTTCATATAATTCTGCCTTATGTCATTTATTCAAGAAATATTTATTGTGCAACTACTACACGCCTGGAGTAATTCTAGATGCTGGGACCTGACAGTAAACAAAACAAGAGTCCTGCCTTCACTGATCTCACAATCTAGTCCAGGAAGATAGAGAATAAATCCATAAACAAAAATATAACATCAGATAATAATGAACATAACAAAATAAAATAGAACAAAATAAAATAAAAAAGGATCATGTATGGGGGGAGGGTGAATGTGGAAAGGGTTATTTTAGCTAGAGTAGGAAAGAGGTTCAAAGATGAGAAGGCAGCAACCATGAAAAAATATGGAAGAATGGTTTCAGGCAAAGTATACATATAGCACATTTAAAGACTGTGGAACAGAAATAAGTTTGGTATATGGAAAGGGCAAAATAAGATTGCACTGGTGTGGCTAAGAGCATAGAAAGCAAGGAAAATGGTAGGGGTTGAGGACAGAGGAGGAGGCAGGGACCACATTCCACAGGATTTTGGAAACTATGATAAGGAGTGTAACTCTTATTCTACTGGCAAAATGGCACCATATGATTTTAAGCAGGTATTTGGTACAGTCAAATTTAGGTTTTACAAAGATATAGTTTAAAATGTAGAGAATAGGGATGCCTGGGTGGCTCAGTCAGTTAAGCGTGTGCCTTCGGCTCAGGTCATGATCCCAGGGTCCTGGGATCGAGTCCTGTATCGGGCTCCCTGCTCAGCGGGGAGCCTGCTTCTCCCTCTGGCTGGTGCTCCCCCTGCTTGTGTGCTCTCTTTCTGTCTCTGACAAATAAATAAAAATAAATAAAATCTTTCAATAAATTATGGGGACAAAAGCAGAGGTGGAGAGAACAATTAGGAGGGTACTCCAGGTAAAGGATGGTGATGATTTAGACTAAGGTTTCAGTAAGAGGTATGGTGAGAATCAAGTACACTAGGTATCTGTCTTGGAGAAAATGCCAGTTGGAACCTGCTAATGGGCTTTAAATATAAAAGGGTCTATAATGAATCTCCAATATTTGGAGATTGAGTAAAAAGCAGAGGTTTTTTGCAGAAGAGATGAAGGAAGTGGAGGTATTAATGAAGTACAAGGAAAACTAGGAGAAAGACTACCTTGGGCTCCTAGAGAACAAGGTGTTCCGAGGAAAAGGAATACTTGCTACTACTGGTGGTGGGCACTTGAATACTTCTTCCTTCTCAGATTTCCATGAGAAGAGATTCCTTCCCCCAACCCCACCCCGTGGTAATGGTGGCCTCCCCTCCTCCCCAGTGGCCCTCTGGAGGTTGACTAAGTTTAGTGAGGTAAATTTAGGAGAGAATGCTGAGCATGCTTATTAGCTCCCTCCTTTATTTTGGGAGTTGGTACACATTCTTTTCTGTTCTTTCATGGCTCCATATTTGGGCAAGACAGGTAGAGTGGTCTACAATTTACTGGGTAAGTCTAAATCAAAAGAGTCTTTAAGATCTACTGTACTGGCTTGGAACTCTAAGAAATAGATGAGGAAAACAAATAAGGAGTACAATTTTAGGTTGTTACTGGGGTCATGACATGTAAGAGTAACTTCTTGTTAAGTCACCATAGCTTACGGCAGTTTTGTACCCTTGCATACAGACGACAATAGCCTTGAAGAAGTAGAAACAGCCCTCACTGAGAGCTGTAAGACAGGCTGCTGCAGCTTACACTTGTATTCCATAGATGCACCCTGGCTGGGTATTGCCAAGAAAGCTGAGGTGAGATTCCGTATCACAAATTAGGGGAGAAAAGTGCCTATTTAAATTTTTTCTCACTATTTTAGTGTTTTGCAGTCAGGTCTGCAGACCAAGATTTTAAATAGCACCTCCTACATTCCCTGTGGACAAGAGAACACAAGAAGGAGCTTCTAGATTTTAAGTGTTAAGGCCAGCTCTTGACAAACAATGTGCAATTAGATGCCCCCAAATTCTGTTTTGAACTGCCTCCAGAGCTAAGACGAGGAATTAGGCAGGAAGAAACCTTATCCACGATTTTACTAGAACTTAGATTTGCAAACTACGAATTCTGACCATGGCTCTAGATTTCTGAGTTCTATTGTTTATTGATTAATAAAAACCAGAGTATGTCTGTTTTATCATAATGAGAATGTGCTGTATCCTTTGGCTGAATAGAGAAAAACAAAACTCCAAAAAATTATTTTAGGAACAGTAAAAAATAATGCAGAGATAAATGAAAAGATGTTGTTTAAAGTGGAAGATGAGAAATCTTTCTTTAGAAGAAAGGTATGAGAACTTTTGGGATAAGTAAGACAGATAAGAAAGGAAAATGAGATCTTTAAAATTAGAATAGAATGTTATAAGGAAAAAGAGATTCATGGAGCACAGATTGCTGATAAATGATTACAGAAAAGGTGAAAACATGTTGGTATTCATTAGATCAGAAATAGTGACAAAGTCCAAGGAAAAGCAAGAGATCTACAAGGAGCCAGGATTCATAACCCCCTTGGGAAGCATCCTGTTAAAGTCACCCCTAAATTCCATTAATAAAAGCAATTGGAGAACTGCCCCTTAAAGATCAGAATGGCCAATATGCTGGGAATTACTGAAACTGGAAGATGGGTATATCAAATATTTATTTTTTCTACTTTTGTATATATTTGAAATTTTTCATAATAAACAATTTTTTTTTTAAATATTGGAACAGGGCGCCTGGGTGGCTCAGTCGTTAGTGTCTGCCTTCGGCTCAGGTCATGATTCCAGGGTCCTGGGATCGAGCCCTGCCTTGGGCTCCCTCCTCAGCGGAAGGCCTGCTTCTCCCTCTCCCACTCCTCCTGCTTGTGTTCCCTCTCTCGCTGTGTCTCTCTTTGTCAAATAAATAAATAAAATCTTAAAAAAAAAAAAAACAAAAAACTGCTTCATGAACATCATACTTCAGGGGTCTGCAAACTTAAAAAAATAAAAATAAAATAAAATATTGGAACAAAATTAGAAAATTTGGCAATATTTCAAAAAGGACTACCAGTAAAATCAGGGTAAAATACTCAAAGCACTACTTGCACTTCAAGGTTATAACGGCAAGTAGAGATAAAGGTACTTCTGATGCTCTAAAGGACTATCACAAATAAATTCACAGAATTAGAATTCTAAGGAAAGAGACAAGAAAGTAGAAATGTATTATAAAGGAGAAATGTATTAAAAGGACATTGAGAAATTAGATATCAGACAGTTAGATATTGTTCTGACGAGAGAATACTTTTGGCAGATCCAGGACATAGTGAGTTCATATATATCACTACTAGAGTTCCCCTAATACAAAGAAAAATACCAAAGAAAAACAAGTGCCTGGATCAGGAAAAAAAAAAAGTAAAGAACTTAATATTTAATATAAAAATATTTAATATTTAACAGGAATAGCCCCATATATTTTATTTTATTTTTTTTCAAAGATTTTATTCATTTTATTTGAGAGAGAGAATGAGAGAAAGAGAGCACATGAGAGGGGGGAGGGTCAGAGGGAGGAGCAGACTCCCTGCTGAGCAGGGAGCCCCATGTGGGACTCGATCCCGGAACTCCAGGATCATGACCTGAGCCGAAGGCAGTCGCTCAACCAACTGAGCCACCCAGGTGCCCAGCCCCATATATTTTAAAGAAGGAAAGCAGCCATCTTCAGTAGAAGAGTAAATGTTCCTTACAGAAATATGGGAACAGTAGAGGGAAATTAAAATGTTATCCTATTACTACAAAAAAAAAGAGTGTAATAGAAACAAATTCTAGGGGTGCCTGGTGGCTCAGTTGGTGAAAAGCATCTGCCTTCAGCTCAGGTCATGATCTCAGGGTCCTGGGATCGAGCCCCACATCCGGCTCCTGCTCAGAAGGGGGGGTCTGCTTCTCCCTCTCCCTCTGCCCCTAATCATGCTCTCCCTCTCTTGCTCATTCTAATAAATAAATAAATAAAATCTTAAAAAAATAAAAAAAAGAAATTCCATTCAAACCCTGGAACGTTTCCAAGGTTGACAAGTATGAATCCTCAAAAGGCCTCTAGTGACACTGATTTCAGAAGTCAGCAGCTACTCTCAAACATCCGGTGACAATGATCCTCCATGTGAAACAGATCGAACACCTAGGAACAGATCTTCCCAAAAGGCCGGTCTCACCAGCCTAAGTTATTCCACAGCTGCCAGGTCACCGAAGTGAAAAGGTTGGCTCATGAGGCAGACAAGGACTCCACCAATGGGATGCCAGAAACACAAAACTCAAATGGGAAATGGAAATTACGGAGTTCTGAATATAATGAATGGAAAAGAAAAGAACATCAAATAAAATATGACTACAGTTGTCATCGTTACCAACCTAAATTTTGCCAAAAGGGAGCAATGTCTCAAATGTAACTCAGAAGAAAGGAGACAATTTGCACAGCTAGCCTTTTCTCCAGATAGGACATTCACTTCTTGACAGGAGATATTTCCCAATTAGGTTTGAATGCAACGGTGACTCTGGACATGACTACTTGGTATTTTGGAGGTATTGGTGACTTTGATAAGAGCCATTTCAGTGGAGTGGTGGGGATGAAAGCCCAAATGAAGAGGATTCAGAAGAGAATAAGAGGTAGGATAATAAAAGTAAACTTTCTATACTGGTCCCAATATTAATTTCCTTCTAGTAGGAAGTATTCTGGCACACAAGTAGATAAGTTAGTAAATCTGGTGATGGAAAGTGAGGTACTTTTATCAGTTACATCTATTTTTTTCAGTGAAAGATGAAGCAAGGTCATCAGCTGAAGAGTAAGGCTGTAGGAAGTTTGGGAAGAGAGGAAAAGTATGCAACAGCTATCTCAGAGAGCGACTGAATGCACTATGGAAGTTCAGTAAGACTGTCAAATAGCATTGTGTCCGCTGGTTTTATATATACTCATATAATACGAAAAAAAGAATCAGAATGGCTGTGTAATTTTCTCCTCCAATGGCTAAACTTTTTGAGTACAAGGAGAGGAGTGGCAGTTTGAATATTTAATCAGGGTTAGAAGTAGGAGAGAGGACAAAGGAAATTAAAGGTGTTTATGAGAGCTGAATTTTGCTAAAAACCTAAGAAAATAAGTCTTCTCCCTTACCTCTATCTATACACTTATGGTTTATAACACTTATGAATTTTTTTAAATGTTTTATTGTTATGTTAATCACCATACATCATTAGTTTTTGATGTAGTGTTCCATGATTCATTGTTTGTGCATAACACCCAGTGCTCCATGCAGAACATGCCCTCTTTAATACCCATCACCAGGCTAACCCATCCTCTCCCACCCCCCTCCCCTCTAGAACCCTCAGTTTTTCAGAGTCCATCGTCTCTCATGGTTCGTCTCCCCCTCCAATTCCCCCCCTTCATTCTTCCCCTCCTATCTTTTTTTTTCTTAACATATGTTGCATTATTTGTTTCAGAAGTACAGATCTGTGATTCAACAGTCTTGCACAATTCACAGCGCTCATAGCACATACCCTCCCCAATGTCTATCACCCAGCCACCCCATCCCTCCCACCCCCCAACACTGTTATGAATGTAAAGAGAAGTATGTCCCAGTTTTTTTTAATTTCAAGAAAACCAAACAGAGACAAACAGACCATATAATTTGGTAAGTTATAAGTGCTCAAGAAAATCTTGAATTATGATCAGACATGCTAAAATTTCACAATGGACTGATGCTAAAATTTCACAATGGACTGATACTAAAATTTCACTGTGCAAAATATACACACATAACATTATCAGAAAGATAATCTTACCTTGGTGTTTCCCAGGAAGTCTCTATATTCTCTTAATATTTTTTGGTTTCTAAATAGCCCTTTATAAGAAAAGAATTACAAAATACATTTAGCTCATACATATTCTATTAGTCACATTTTAGGGTAACACAATTATTCTCTTTGAGAGTATGTTAAATATGTTCTACTGGCTATGAGCTAAAATATCAGATTACTATAAAAAATCTGGATCTGCAACTCAAATAAAAAATGGGCAAAGGACTAGAACAGACCTTTCTCCAAAGATGATATACAAATGGCCAACAAGCACATTAAAGGATGCTCATATCAAACCTATTATCGGAAAAACACAGATTCAAACTACAACGAGGTATCACCTCACACCCATCAGAATGGCCATTATCCAAAAACCAAATCAAACCAAACCCAGAAAATAACAAGCATTGGTGAGGATGTGGAGAAACTGAAAACCGTCTGTATACTGGTGGGACTGTAAAATGGTGCAACTGCCATGGAAAGCAACATGGAGGGTTCCTCAAAAAATTAAACACTACCATATGATCTAGTAATCTGACTTGCAGGTATACATCAAAAAAAAAAAAAAAAGAAAAAAGAAAGAAAGAAAAAGAAAAGCAAGCAAGCAAGCAGGTTCTCAAATATTTACATACCCATATTCAGAGCACCACTATTCGGAATAGTCAAGAAGTGAAAGCAACCAAAATGTCCATGGATAAACAAAATGCGGTATATGCATACAATGAAATATTATTCAGACTTAAAAAGGAAGGAAATTCTGGCACACAGATGAACCTTGAGGACATTAAGCTACGTGAAATAACTCAGTTAAAAAGACAAATTTTGTATAATTCTATTTATATGAGATATCTATAGCAGTCAAATTCATAGAAACAGAAAGTAGGAGACTGGTTACCAAGGGCTACAGGTAGGGGGAAAGGGGAACCACTGGGTAACAGAGTTTCAGTTTTACATGATGAAAAAGTTCTGGGAAAAAATTTTCTGAATATCTGTTTCATAACAACGTGAATATACTTAACAATTCTGTTAAAATGATAAATTCTGTTGTGTTTTTTAACACAATAAAAAAAAGGCAGGGAGAAATCTAGATTTGCAATGAGAGAAAGGCACTTTTTAAAATATTTATTTATTGGGGCGCCTGGGTGGCTCAGTCTTTAAGCGTCTGCCTTAGCCTCAGGTCATGATCCCAGGGTCCTGGGATCGAGCCCCACATCGGGCTCCCTGCTCTGCGGGAGGCCTGCTTCTCCCTCTCTCACTCCCCCTGCTTGTGTTCCCTCTCTCGCTGTCTCTCTCTCTCTCTCAGAAAAACCAAATAAATAAATCTTTAAAGAAATAAAATAAAATATTTATTTGTTTATTTATTTTAGAGGGTGGGGGTAGGCAGGCGCAGAAGGAGAGAAAAAATCTTAGGCAGGCTCCACGCCTAGTGCAGAGCCTGAGGCGGGGCGTGATCTCACAACCCAGAGATCATGACCTGAGCTGAAATCTAGAGTTGGACACTTAACCAACCGAGCCACCCAGGCACGAGAAAGGTACTTTGATATAAGATCTCTTCTCAGTATTATCTAAAAATATGAGTTACTTAATCTTAATAAAAGAACCGTCTTCATTTTTTAGCTCAAGGTTTAAAAATACAAGAAAAACAAATTTCTATTACTTTATTTTCTCAAATTGTGTTTAAATATTTCCTTTAAAGTATGTACAGCCTATTCATGGTATCATTATTTTAATAGCATAAGACTGGAAACAACCTGTGGGGGGAATGATTGAGTAAACTATGGTGTACCCCCGAAAATGGAGTATTATAAAAGGAATGAAGAAATGTCTCTATTTACTGCTATAGAATGGCCCTTAGGACACAATGTCAATAAAAAAAGAAAAGACAGAAAGTATACCTTATTTATGAAAGGGGACCAGGGGGGAGGGTTAACACCAGTATATATGCTATTTCATAATATATTTTTTAATGGAAAAAATAATTCCAAAACTAATTTTTTAAATGGTTACTGATGCGAGGAGGAGGAATAAGGTAGAAAAGATAAGGATGGAAACTAAATTTCTCTGAAGGTTCTGTCTGGTAGATGTGACTTTGGAATCATGTAAATATTTTACAAAATTATAAAAGAAAAATCAAAATTATTTCTAAAAATCAAAAGCAAAATAAACAAATGAACCTAATTTTACATCTATTTTATGGTTTATCCATGCAGACAGAAATTTCAAGTGAATTTAAAACAAAGAAATATAACTTATACATCCCTAGTGGAATATACACTAAAGACAAAAAGAAAAGTCAAGAAAACTTAAATCATCCTAATGGCAATAACATTGGTATTACTATTTTGAAACTACACTGTAAGAATAAACCAAAATTATAATTATACTAATGAATTAAGAAATAAGATTTTCAGGGGTGCCTGGGTGGCTCAGTCATTAAACAGCTGCCTTCGGCTCAGGTCATGATCCCAGGATCTGGGACCAGGTCCTGGGATTGAGCCCCGCATCGGGCTTCCTGCTTAGTGGGAAGCCTGCTTCTCCCCCTGCTTGTGTCCCCTCTCTTGCTGTCTCTCAAGTAAAAAAGAAAGAAAGAACGAAAGAAAGAAGATTTTCAGTGTAAGAAAAGTTACAAAACACAACAAAGAAAAAAAAATAAGTTTTTCAGAATAGCCTGTATATCTTCTCTCTTAAGAAAAAATGAAGTATTTCCTATTACTGTCCACTGGAAAGACCTTAAAAATATGCCAACGTATTAAAAATGAGTACCCGTGGGGCACCTGGATGGCTCAGTCAGTTAAGCATCCAACTCTTGATTTCCGCTTAGGTCATGATCTTGGGGTGATGAGATTGAGCCCTGCATCAGGCTCCATGGTGGGCATAGAGCCTGCTTGGGATTCTCTTTCTCCCTCTACCTTTGCCCCTCCACACCTCTCTCTCTCAAAAAAAAAAAAAAAAAAGTACCCCTAATGCTAATACCCCGAGTATAATCTCTCAATTTTATTTACCACTAAAAAGAAATGCGGTTCCTTTCAGAGATGGGTAATGCCCAGTCTGGGGCAGGACATATACAAGATAAAACTGAAACATCTTATTGTACCTAAAAGCAAGGATGCTACAATACTAGGGTTATGACAAAGGGACTTCAGAACCAACTTGAGGTGCTTCCATTGGCCAAAAATGGGACAATTTGAGCCCCACTACTTGGCCTATTTTGTTCTTTCCTTGCTAGCATGTCTCCTCCACCCTCTTTCCCTTCTCCTTGATCTCCTTTCTATCTCACTGCTCCCCTTCTTGATACTGAACTCCCATGCTCTCAAGAAACTCTCTCTGCCCCTTTACCTCCTATATTACTGACCACAACTGTCTCTCAATTTCCACTTAGAAATTTCACCAACTCATCAAGGGAAGGTAATACTGTCACCTTTAAGCTTTAGAAATGTACAGCATTTAGAAATACAGTTAAAAAATTCAGATTCTCCTAAATAAAGCCTGACTGTCAAACAAAAATATGTGTACATTTTTCTCAGATACTAGCACCTCTATCTCTATTTTAATCCTGCCACGTTATATCTGTTCCCCAAAGTAACCAGAACTATAACTGCAGTGCAAGCATCTAAATTCCCCAATGCAGTCTGCCCTATTGGAACAACATTTGGTTATATCCTATATTAGCATCTCTATTACCTAAAAGAACCCAATGGAAGCCTTTAACTGAATAGTGACATCAAAATTCTGAAGCTCCCTGGCCCTAATATGTATTTCTTTTACTGAAATATCTCACCCCTCTGGATTTAACTGCAGCTCTCTTTAGCCTATCTGTGAATATAAAGATAATCAATCAACAACTGTTTGCTTCTTCTGAGAGGCCAAAACTCCACAGATACTAGGATTCACTAATTCTCTTTATTACTTTCAAAATGCTAAACTAATGATTTAAAGGACGTGGATTCTGCAAAAATATCTACACTTGTTCAACATGCAGATGACTTAATATTATATATTGCAGGCCTACTAGAACCTCAAATATATTCCTTATTCCTCCTGACTGGATTAGTTGGAAAGAGACAAAATGTTTTCAATTTTGTCAAGAAAAGGAATAATCAGCAGAAGGTCACTCATTTTCTTTGCCTGAATTCAAACTATCCAAAACCATCCTGGATTTTCAACCAAGGTGCAACTGAGAGGACATTAAGACCGACGACAGATTACTGCAGGCAGTGCTTAGTGAACTTTCTAAAACAGTTCAACTATCACTATCATACAAACTAAAACAAATACCTGTTTTATAGAGATATACTATATTTCAGATATAGACTGAAATATTTAAAGATGAAATGGACTGGTTTCAAAGTAATTTAATAGAGTGAGGGTAAGGGAGCTATAGCTAAAACAAGGTTGGCCCTGTGTTGATAACTGGATTCTTGAGGGGTTGTTACACTTTCCTCTGTACTTCTAAGTTTGAAATAGCCCCACTGATGGGGGGGAATGAAACAAAATGTGAAGAAGGAACATTGGAAAATATTCAGAACAAAAACCCGCAACAAAGTAGGGATAGAAGGAACATATCTCAACATCATAAAGGTCATGTATGAAAGACCCACAGCTAATATCATCCTCAATGGGGAAAAACTGAGAGCTTTTCCTCTAAGGTCAGGAACAAGACAGGGATGTCCACTCTCACCATTGTTAAACATCGTACTGGAAGTCCTAGCCTCAGCAACCATACAACAAAAAGAAATGAAAGGCATCCTGGGGCGCCCAAGTGGCTCAGTTGGTTAAGCGTCCGACTCTTGGTTTTGGCTCAGGTCATGATCTCAGGGTTATGATACTGAGCCCGACATCGGGCTCCATGCTGGGTGTGGAATCTGCTTAGGAATCTCTCTCTGCCTCTTTCTCTCTCTCCCCCACTCCCTCTGCCCTGCCCCACTCTCTCCCTCACTAGAAAAAAAACAAAAAAAAAGGAAATAAAAGGCATCCAAATCAGCAAGGAAGAAGTCAAATTTTCACAATTCACATATAACATGATACTCTATGTAGAAAACCCAAAAGACTCCACCAAAATATTGCTAGAACTGATATACAAACTCAGCAAAGTCACAGGACACAAAATCAACATACAGAAATCTGTTGCATTTCTATACACCAAAAATAAAGCAGCAGAGAGAGAAATCAAGGAATTGATTCCATTTACAATTGCACCAAAAACCATAAGATACCTAAGAATAAACCTAACCAAAGAGGTAAATGGTCTGTACTCTGAAAACTATAGAATATTTATGAAAGAAATTGAAGAGGACACAGAGAAATGGAAAAACATTCCATGCTCATGGATTGGAAGAACAAACATCGTTAAAATGTCTATACCACCCAAAGCAATCTACACATTTAATGCAACCCCTATCAAAATACCACCAGCATTTTTCACAGAGCTAGAACAAACAATCCTAAAATTTGTATGGAACCACAAAAGACCCCAAATAGCCAAAGCAATCTTGAAAAAGAAAAGCAAAGCTGGCAGCATCACAACTCCGGACTTCATGCTATATTACAAAGCTGCAGTCATCAAGACAGTATGGTACTGGCACAAAAACAGACACATAGATCAATGAAACAGAGCACAAAACCCAGAAATGGGTCCACAACGATACGGTCAACTAATCTTTGAGGGGCGCCTGGGTGGCTCAGTCGTTAAGCATCTGCCTTCGGCTCAGGTCATGATCCCAGGGTCCTGGGATCGAGCCCCGCATCGGGCTCCCTGCTCCGCGGGAAGCCTGCTTCTCCCTCTCCCACCACTCCCCCTGCTTGTGTTCCCTCTCTTGCTATCTCTCTCTCTGTCGAAAAATAAATAAAATCTTAAAAAAAAAACAAAAACTAATCTTTGACAAAGCAGGAAAGAATATCAATGAAAACAAGACCATCTCTTCAACCCACTGGTGTTGGGAAAACTGGACAGCCACATGCAGAATGAAACTGGACCACTTTCTTACACCATACACAAAAATAAATTCAAAATGGATGAAAGATCTAAATGTGAAGCAGGAAACCAACAAAATCCTAGAGGAGAACACAGGCAGCAAACTTTGACCTCAGCCATGGCAACTTCTTACTAGACATATCTCCAGAGGCAAGGGAAACAAAAGCAAAAATGAACTACTGGGACTTCATCAAGATAAAAAGCTTCTGCACAGCTAAGGAAACAACAAAACTAAAAGGTAACTTACAGAATGGCAGAAGACATTTGCAAATGACATATCCAATAAAGGGTTAATATCCAAAATCTATAAAGAACTTATCAAACTCAACACCCCAAAAAACAAATAATCCACGTAAAAAGTGGGCAGAAGACATGAATAGACATTTTCCCAAATAAGACATACAGATGGCCAACAGACCCATGAAAAGATGCTCCACATCACTGATCATCAGGGAAATACAAATCAAAACCACCATGAGATACCACCTCACACTAATGGCTAAAATTAACAACTCAGGAAACAACAGAGTGAGGATGCGGAGAGAGGGGAACCCTCCTACACTGCTGGGGGGAATGCAAACTGGTGCAGCCATGCTGGAAAACAGCACAGAGGTTCCTCAAAAAGTTAAAAATAGAGCTACCCTACCACCCAGCAATTGTACCACTAGGTATTTACCCAAAGGGTACAAAAATACTGATTCAAAGAAGCATATGCACCCCATTGTTTATAGCAGCACTCTCAACAATTGCCAAATTATGGGAAGAGCCCAAATGTCCATCGACTAATAAATGGATAAAGAAAATGTGGTGTATATATACAATGGAGTATTACTCATCCATCAAAAAGAATGAAACCTTGCCATTTGCAACGATGTAGATGGAGCCAGAGTATTGGGCTAAGCAAAACAAGTCAGTCAAAGAAAAACAAATACTATATGATCTCACTCATATGTGGAATTTAAGAAACAAAACAGATGAACATGGGGGAAGAGAACAAAAAAAAAAAAGAGGGAGGTAAACTATAAGCGACTCTTAACTATAGAGAACAAACTGAGGGCTGATGGAGGGGAGGTAGGCACAGGATGGGCTAAATGGGTGATGGGTATTAAGGAAGACACTTGTGATGAGCACTTGGTGTTATATATAAGTGATGAGTCACTAAATTCTACTCCAGAAACCAATATTGCACTATATGTCAACTAACTGGAGTTTAAATAAAAACTTGAAACAAAGATAAAATTTAAAAAATAAATAAAAAGTAGGTAACTCAAAAAAAAAAAGAAAATATTCAGAACATACACAATTAAGAATTAAAATCTATCAAAAACTCATGAAAATCAATTTAAGAAGACACACAATGTAATAGAAGATGAGTAAAGGGTATAAAAATTATCACAGAAGAATTAAGAAAAACAAACATATTAAAAGATAACCAACCTCAGTAGTCATCAGAGAAACTAAAAAAAAAAAAAATTTTTTTTTTTTTTTTTTTTAGAGGGACCGGTTCTTTATTTCAAAAAGACGCTTGTCAATTTTCAGTATCAAAACAGTTTGCACTATCGGTTTCTTTCTCCCAATCGGCCCCCAGAGACCACACCAAAGGAGACTGCATTTTAAGCCAATAAGCTGCAGGATGCACACCTAACAGGCCTCACAGAAACCTCACCAAAAAAGGGAATTGGGGAGGGAAAGAAACTTTAAAAGATCAGCACACTGTCAGCCCAGACTGTAGAGAGTTCTCAGCGAGACAGGGTGGCCAATGTGCCCCACCCCTAAAGAAGCAAAGGTCCAAAATAATATTAAATTTAAAAACAGTTTTGTACATAATCTATTCAAGATTTGTCCAGCACTAACTGATACAAAGCACGAGATGGCACGTTTAGAGACAGCAGCTTCGGACCCAGCAAAGGGTGATGAGATGAGTTTGTTTCATATGGCTAAATCAGTGGCAAACACATAATTTTCTTTTTTTCCTTCAAGGAAGCAGGAGAGACAATAAGCGGTCACCTCAACGTAAGGGAAACATGATCCATTCTGTGGGCAGTTAGGGTAAAGATAGGATAAGGATTTGGTCTCAGAGGTCTCACCATCTTAATTTAGAGAAACTCAAAATTAAAGATGCCATCTGTTGCCCATCAAATACGCAAGAAAGTTAAAACAATGGCAATATCCAGCATTGTCAAGGGCATGAGGAAATAGTCACCCTCATACACTATAAGTGTAAATGTAAACTGGCACTATATTCCTTCGGAGAATATTCTACCAAATTTTAAAATGCCCATGTCCTTTGACCCTGAAATACTACTAACATTTTATCCCATGTATTTGTAATAAGAGCATAATATATTTTTATATACTTAAGAAATATGACATTCACTAATGTGTTCTTTTTAAAGGTAAAAATAATTGGAGAACATAAAGCTTATTACATCCATACAATGGAATACTATGCAGCTGTTAAAAAAGAATGAGTGAGAGGTAGATTTCTATATGTAGACATGGAAATATGTTTATGGTTACACTGGTAAGTATAAAGAACAAGATACAAAACAATAGGAATAGTGTCACCCCATTTATGTTTAAGTGAAAAAAATGTATGTATATAAATTTGAAAATGCATCAGAAATAATCTGGATAGATGCATCCCAAACTGCCAGCAACAGTTATCTATAGGAAGTAAAATGAGACGGTAACTAGAGAGAATGAAAGGAGACTTTTTATTCTTTATATTTTTGTATTCTTTTTTAAATCACAAGGGTGCATCACTTTTGTCATTAGTGAATACATAAATATATATAAATCAAAGAATTATCTAAATTATATTTCACATAATCCTGAATCCTAATTCTATAAAGGTGGCTTTGTCACTCAACTATTGGATTGTTAAATGCCCTGAAAGTCTTATTTGCAACTAAATCTCAAGCATCAAGCAGTTTCTCGTTCACAGTAAATGTTTGGTAAGTACCTGCTAAATGAATTATTTGAGGTAGAAATGGGGGCGGGGAGCGCCTGGATGGCTCAGTCAGTTAGGCATCCAAGTTTTGGTTTCAGCTCAGGTCATGATCTCACGGGTCATGAGATCAGCTTGGCATCTCTGCGTTCAGCAGGGAGTCTGCTTCTCTCTCTCTCCCTTTCCCTCTGCCCCTCCCCCAACTCATGCGACTCTCTCTGGAATAAATAAATCTTTAAAAAAAAAAAGTAAAGTAGAAATGGGGAAACTGAATTAACAGACTCTTCTGTAAGAAAGCACTACTACTTTTAGAACAAGTATAATCTTCAAATCAGACCATAAATTATAATATTCATGTATCTTTTAATAAACCACCAACCAGCTTTGTTTCTTCTTTAAAGAGCTATGGAGGAGAAAACCGAAAAAATAGATACTGTTTTTATTTTTATTTATATATTTATTTTTTTAAGATTTTATTTGTGAGAGAGCAAGCGCACACACCCACAAGCAGGGGGAGTGGCAGGCAGAGGGAGAAGCAGGCTCCAGGACTTGATCCCAGGACCCTGAGATCATGACCTGAGCCGAAGGCAGACGCTTAATCGAGTCAGACACCCAGGCGTCCTGATACTGTTTTTAAAAAGTAATTGAATCCCAAAGTGGCAAGTGGTATTTGCTAGAACCAACAGAGCCAAAGCCAAGAGGCATGCAACTACTAGGAAGTGTAATTACTTAAGGCCCAAGTTTTACCTACAAGTTACTTTTCAATTAACTCCAATTTAAACTGAATATACTTACTTTCTCTGTATTCTATTTCTGCTTCCTTCCGCAGTTTTTTCTCTCTGGCAAGAGCCTCAGGGCTTCCCCAAACTTCCAAAGATCTGTGCATACACACATGGCCATCAACAATGGACAATTTTAATGACTTTATTGTAATCATATTTAAATCGAGATGAACTATAACAACGTGAGAATCTTACAACAAAGCATAAGGTCCTTTAGGAAAAATATAAAGCACTTAAGAAATTTTTCTAAATTAAATCTAAACAGCAAGTATATTCAACAGCAAATTTTCTTATAAATTATCACATAGTTTTAGTTAACTAGTACATACTAGTAATTCGCAGACAAGTTTGCAAAGATGAAAATACTCTGCTTTTAAAATATATCATTTAAAAACCTCTATCTAATATGGGTTTTTATTAATCCAAAATTTGGCTTGTATATTTATTCTAAAAGAAGTATGTTCTTACTTTGCCTCCACATCTGACCTCAGGTATACAGTAAAGGACTCAGTATCTTCATGAGGACTTCGTCGTCTGATTTTTCGAAGTTGTTCTAGATCACTGAAGAAAGAAAACATGCTGAATTTATTCAGAAAAGGTTCATACAGTTTTTGTTCTTTTCTTAGAAGGATTATTAGGGGTAGATAAAAGCCACTACCTAGATCCTGACCTTTAAAGGCTATACAGATCAGGTGAAGACTTGAAAGATCAGTTTAAAGATGGCATTTTGTACACAAAAATTGGTCTAGAGACAATGAAAAAATAACAATTATTCTTGATGCTCACTAAAAATATATAATATGCATTACATAATATGCAGAAATTTGACTCCTTCATCAGTGTTTGTATTTATCTGCTATGGACACCCCACTGCAATGTCTGATGTATGAAAAAAAAGTGGAAAAAACATAGAGTACCATCCCCTACTTAAGAATTTAAATTTAAAATTTATAGTCATACTTGTTTATATTCAGATTAATACTAAATGGTGATACTAAATGGTAATACTATCTATAGGTATCAAGTCATAAAGAGTAGCTGTCAATTCTATGTTATTTATTTTCCATTCTCTTGAATTCTGAAAGGTTTATGTATTCATCAAGTCACTGCTAAATAGTCATTCTAAATTTGATCATTGTACTTCCTATGGAAATTTTATAAGAGTTATGAAAAGGCCTATAAATAAAAAGCTGGTATAAGTTCCAAGAAATTAAACTTGGGAGTTTATAGGGTACCTGGCTGGCTCAGTCAGTGGAGCATGCGATTCTTGACCTCGGGATTGTGGGTTTGAGCCCCACACTGGGTATGGAGATTACTTAAAAATAAAATCTTTAAGATAAATACAATACAATAAGTCAACAACGAACCATCACATATTAGTAAAAAGTTTGGACAAGGTATCAGAGATATGTATTCTAACCCCCTGATGCTGACTCAGTAAATGAGCTGGGTCATCACTAACATCTTTACTATGTTTCCTGGCCTACAATGTGGAGACAGCAATACCTAATCTACTTAATTCACAAAATTTTTGTGAGAAGTAAATGAAATACTCCATGTGAAAAGGACACTGTTTTACATCAATGTCACAACTGGTTGTTAATAGTTATGAAAGTTATAAAACTGATTATAAGAATTCTTATTTCTTGATAATATACAATAGAGGATGTGACCAGGAGGGAAAGGGAAAAAAAGGCTAAATCTGATGACTAAATTGCCAAGAAATTTTCCATGTAATATGACTTTCTTAGGTAAACACAGAAAGGAGGGGGAAATTTTTAATTTGTTGCAAATATCTCAACAAATCTCTATGATTACAAGAAAATTAATAACAAAAAGATACCAGAAAACAAAAATAATTTATGCTCGAGTTGGAGTGTGAACACAAATGTAACTAATTACTCAACTCTGCTAGCCAAATAAACCCGTAACTTTAAAAAGTTAAACATACAAATATGCAAATATCTTATTGGTAAGGTATCTTATCTGCCACATATTAACATAATAATAAACTCCTAAGGTTCTTGTGTGATACAGACATTTTGAAGAACCTGCTTTTTTGAGTTTAAGATACCACAAAAGACTGCAATTGCTCACACTGAAGCAGAATTCAGTTTAATAAGCTAACAATTTTAACATTTTTTTAACTGAACAAATAGTTCTTCAATTTAGGAAGGAGTCATGGGAAAGTTTTCACCTGGACAGTAGCAAATAACATTCTAAGAAATAAATGGTTATTTAGATTAGCTAGAACTACCACATTAAAAGAAACCAACTGCTGTACCTGGATTTAAGGCAGAACTCATTTATTGCTCTGACTCCAGTGATGAAATTATTCTGAGTGTACTTTGGTCCATATTCCCTCTTCTTAAGGACTGCTTTGACTAAATTCAAAAATATAAGAAAACATAAAAAATATGCACACTAGAAATCACATTAGAAGACGAACATATGCTGATACTTAGGGGGTTCACTAATGAATTTCATAGAAAATTGATGTTTTTCCTGATGCACTGAATGGCATCAGAAGAAGAGAGGCTCCCAAGTGCAGAACAGGACAGAATTCCATTTGTAGCCATCTAGATTTTACCTCCATAGTCATCTGTAACTGATGCCAAAATGTCAATCCTTCATCTAATGGACACCCTGTAGAGGTATTCCTGGTCTGTATTGGTACAATACAATTTATATTGTATTGTACCAATACAATATAAATTGTCTAGGGCCTAAAAATAGTAATAATAAATTGTCTAGGGTCTAAATGAAAATGAAGTTTCAATAAAAAAATTATATGCTCGAATGTTTTTCAAACTGTAGGGTGAAACCAGCATTTCATAAAAAATGAAAATAGAAAGTGATCAAAGAGTACCACACACAGTGAATAAGTACTTTTTGTGAAAACTTTTGTTTCAGTTACACACAATAATGTATGTACATAGTAGGTCATTAGTATTTCTTATGTGAGTTGCAGTCAAAAAAGCCTGAAAGCTGTTGGACTATTTCACACAGTCCATAAGAAAGCTGAAGTAAACATAAATATTTTTATCAGTTAAAAATTATAGGAAGTTTATTATAGATTACAGGTAAAATACTGCCTTCTATTAAATTGTTTCCCTATTACCAAGTATCAAATTGTTCATTAAAAAAAACCCAGAGATGATATCAGTAACAAAATACCAATTTGGCATCAATTATAGTCTGTGAATTAAAAATTACACTCAATATAGGTCTATATTTATAAATCATTATAAAGTGAGACTTTTGGTCGTATGACATAGATAAATAAAATAAGCAAATATCTGAAGAGCAGGGGCAAAACAATAGAAAGTCACGTGTTCTGTTTCAAACTGTCACCCTGTCACTTCATATTCTATTCTCAGATGTTAATTGAGTTTTCCGTTGTATTTTGAAGTGGAAAGAGCAAATTAAGACTAAAATGATTCATCACTACAGTAGGTAAAAAAAGACTCTTAAAATAACACATTAACTATTAAAATCAAATGTACAAATAATAATAACATTTCAAACATAAAGTTCAGTATATAAATCAAAACTTTATTTGGAAAAAATACATCTAAGGAAGTTCAGGTTTCTTTTTCCATGAGTTTCAAGTCTCTAAACTGTCTTACTCTAATAATCCTAAAATTCTCTATCCAGATGAGCTCCTCTGGAGCAAAGAATTACTAATTTCTTTTAAAAGATGAGTGTTTTTTTTTTTTTTAAGTTACTTTTTAAAGATTTCTTCAAAGTATATAGAAATCCCTATTGGCCTGTCCTGGCCCAGATTATTGACGATGATGACTGCTATCGTGTTCATTATTCTTAGCTGTAACTATATACTATGGATCATCTTCAAGGTTATCCTAGGAAAGAAATCCCATTTTTAGCACAATCTGATAGGCTCAGGGAAAATGCCCAAGGCCATAAGCTAGTACATGCTGTAGCCACAAACTGAGTCCACTTTCGTCTGATGCCAAAGCCATGGTGCTTCTAGTCACAGAGTTACCGCCCCTGTCAAACATGCTGCTTTGGAGACAGGAGCCATAGCTCATTACAAAGGGCAGAGCTGCAAACAAGAATGCCTTCGTCACTCAGTTATTCCTAAAAAATAAAGCTGGACAAGAATGTCCAAACTCTATCTGTATTTGAACATGCTGTAGCTGAAAGGTGCTGGTCTCTTTAATCACATTACTTTTCTAAAAATGATAAAGTAATTGATGACTTTTATTTGCCATTACTGCCTTCTTTGGGCTTTTGAAAAAACAATTACCACAAAATTTATAACCAAAATGCAAAGTAAACTTCAGTAGAAAATTAGCTTATAAGCAGGAGAATAAACGTTATGGCTGGTATATTTAAAGAAAAGTAAAAATGGACTGTACACTCAGAATAATATAATTATACAGAGCTCTATATAAACTAATTTTGTATATTTAATTCAAAACACCATTATAATAAAAAATAGAATAAAATATATTTACCTCTTACTTGGAGAGGTTCTTGCTTAAGTGGAGCTTTCAGTTCAGCGCCTATATTTTCTGCTGTAAGGTTTATTTAAAAAGTAACAATAAGTAGTTGCTTTCATACAAACCTATAAACTTAATATTAGCTAACGATCTGGCAATGTGTAAAAACGATAACATATGATAGACCAAGTTGCATTTATCCTAGGAATTTAAGAGTAGTCAAACATTAGTAAAACTATTAATGCCCCTCATCATTAACAGACTAAAGGACAAAAGCTATAGAATCATTTCAGGAGCTAATGAAAAAGCATTCACTAAAATTCAACACCTATTCAAGTTTCAAGCCTTTTTTGAAAATTAACACAAAAAGGAATTTTTTTTAATTTTTTTATTGTTATGTTAATCACCATACATTACATCATTAGTTTTTTTGATGTAGTGTTCCATGATTCATTGTTTGTGCATAACACCCAGTGCTCCACGCAGAACGTGCCCTCTTTAATACC